GCACCAGGAGGAAACAGCACTGGTTTAAATTAAGGGGCAGTGTTGGTCTGAAACTGGTTCAGGAGCACGACACAACCTCCGTCTGAGTGTGGTTTTATTCTTCTGATAATTTCAGCACTGACCTCACCTCACCTCACCTGATTGAAGTTCAAGTGTCGAAGGAAAAGTATTGTCTCAAAAAACAAATCCTAACTGCAGTGACTAAAGTGCTCAGAAGTTATAAAACTTCTTTATGAAATAAGGTTTGTGTGATTGAATTGATTGACAGTGTTTCTACCTAATACTCTAACAGGAAGTTATTCCATTCATTTTAATTGTTCATTTTAAATATAAAATATAGGGCACCAGGTCAGGAGTGAGACCAGTTACTGTGGAAACAGAGGACACGTCATGGGTGAGCGCCGTGACAGTGCTCACCCCGGCCAACAGACAGGAGGGACGGGAGACAAACAACAACAACAAGTGTCCCGAATCTATTTGGTAGGTTTCTCTCAAATTCTTTTTTTTGTCTAGAACGAAATTCTCCATGTGTCCATATGCATTTGTTAAAATTAATCCTTCATTTTTGTACGTCTATATATATATATATATATATATATATATATTTGTAATGTCAAAGTCAGACTTCTTAGAACAATCATAATGGTATTTTTTAGAAGTAGGTTTTCAGAGTAATGCACTGGTTTAGTGATTACTTTTAAAACATACAAACATTCAAGTATGTTTCCGAGTTGTAGATGTACAACTCCTGTTTATAACTATTTTTTGTTTTTGGGTTAACTGTTTCATCTTTTTAGTTTGTCTAATGTTTCATATCATTTCATCTGAGTATTTGTAGCCACTTAACTTTCTTTGTCTGTACAGACAGTAAAACATATTTGTATCATTCAAACTAATGACCTTATTCTCACAGAACACACTTTACACAGCACAACAGATCGCTGCTGCTTCCTGGTACAATTTGTTAACAATAGACAAGTGTTTGCCGATCCTTCTGTCACAGAGACGGACCAGTCACACTGGTGTCTTCACTGGAGTCTGGTGGGTGGGTTTTGTGGATTAAAGTGTGAAACTGGTTCTTGTGAAGGTTTCTGTGATGGTTTGGTTTAGAAGAATGAACTAAGTCACCACACTCAGACAGAGACAGTGGTTCTATTCATTCGACTCGGTGTCTGTTTCACTGACTGATATAAATTTGGCTGAAAATTAATCCAACAGGAAGTGTTGTTGTGGAGACATTTACTGTAACTTGATTTCAGTTGGTTATGTTTGTAAAGAATATGACCTACTTTATTCCGTGATTTTAATAACTTGTCACTTGGACCAAGATTGGACCGTGTTGTGGAAAGAATCCTATGTCATTTGTTGACAAAACAAAAAAACTCACTGCACACTGAACTTTACCTTAACTATAGTTGCACCTTCTTTGACCATGACAATTCACTGATTAAATTCATGGATTTGTGTTTTGACCTTCTAAGACTTTAAACACTAGATTTGAATGAATAGATTCATTGAACTAATTCTGTTGTTGTACATTTCTTCACGTATCTTAGGGAGCGTCTGAAACTTCATCGTCTGACAGGATATTTTTGACTGAACTTGATCCTGTATCTTATGTTGCACAATTTAGGTCAAACTCTGCAAAGGGATTTTCAGTATTGCCACATGGAATGATGACGTTTTTACCTCTGTGACTGATTTTAGATCTTGCTCCACTTGATTCTGTTGTCCCTTTTTCTTTGTGTTAACAAAACCTAAAATAATGTTTTAACTGAACTGTATTTCAGTCAGAAGGCTGTCACCTGGTGGAAAAATCATCCTTTCAGTCGTCATCCCCAGAATTCTGCAAAGAAGGAATTCTGTGATGAAAACACTGCTTGAAGGAAGTGACTTAAATGGAGGGTATGTAGAGAAATTGATTCATTTTCACAAATATACAAGTTTGTACTTTTTGAATTCCCTCAATTACTTTAGTGGTAACTTTACAGAATCACAAACTGATGAAGCCCCTTGGATGAGAGACGAAACATCTTCAATTTACTTGAGGTGAGTCCAGTTGCCTACATTTAAAAAAGCTTTTGACATTATTATGATGACCTGGATGACTGAGAATATCCACAAGTATATAAATGTCCGTATCCACTCCTTTTTTTCCCGGTCCTCTGGCAATGACGACGTGGCGTCTGCTCCTGGCTGCTCCCCTACTGAAATACACACAGACCGACTGGTGACTGAGACGGCGCCTCACCTCCACCCTTTTTTGGTACGCCAACCTTTGATCACAATAAAATACTATACCAATAGGTTCCTGAACAAATCTCCGAAATTAAAAGTTTCTCAAAAATGACTAAAAATGCACTCATTTCCCTTAAAATACATAGATATGTCCATTTCTGTTGTTAAAATTCAGAAAAAATATACTTTTTTGGTACGCAAACTTGTCTGTGTGTGTGTGTTGGTAAAAGAGAAACAAGGGCTGCGTGCCCTGGGGAGACAGATTGAGGCTCATACTCAATGCTCTTTATAGGCGAGCATCATCTCCCTGTCAGATCTCTCTCCCCCTCTTTCTCTCTCTCTCTCCCCCTCTTTTCCCCACGCCTTCATCTCCCTCTGTGCTTTATATTCCTCTTCTTCTTTTTCTTCTAACCATCACTCACCCCTCCAGCACACTCCCCCTGTATTTCATTCATTACATTCTCTGTATCTTCTTTCAGAGTTTATCATGATTTCACTTTGAACTGCACAGCCGTTCCCTGCTCCCCACCTCCCTCATGATGAAAACTTTTTTTTTTTTTTTTTTTTACCTTACAGCTACAACAGATGCCCTGACATACCATTCACATTCCACATCAAATAGGACGACTCCAAAAAGTTTGAAGACAAATTGTGTGTTGTTTCTGGTGTGACTGATGAAGTCCTGAGTGATGTGGTTTGTTGAAGCATATTTATGGAGTTGTGGCATCAACTGTTTGAACCATTGCCTTCTATTTTCCAGGTTGTTATTGTCCACAATTACAACCTATAAAAATATTTGATTCAATCTGCAATCTTTGGTCAACATTTTTACATTTCTTTTATTACTCTGTCTAGGTTATTTATATTTAATATAGCACTTTACACCCACTATCTTCACTTTTGCACTTGGTGCTGCAAATGCTTACATTTAAGAATTTTTTTTCTATTGCTAAAACCTAAATATATTTCTCTTGTTGCATTTGAAATCCTCCTACAGGAGCAGCAGTAATGGCAGTTAGTTCCCCCTGGGGATCAATAAAGTATTAATCTACAAAAATCACCCATCAATTTCTGTCATTTTAGAAATGTTTCATTTTTGGTCGTTCTCCTCTTGTCCCGTTGACTTTTGACCCCTGCGTAGCTGCACTTTTGTCACCATGGGGGTTTCTGAGTTAAATCATTGGTGTGGCGCCAGATAGGAAGCAGCTGACCGCTGTGCGGGAAATGGACAATAAAGGACACACTGAACCTCAGGCTACAAGTGTGTGTTTGCGTGTGTAAATATGCAGGCCATTGTTTTCTATGGTGCCATTTAAGGAGGTAGCGTAGAGTGAATTCCCATCTTACATTCATGACTTGATTTATGACTCTCTACAGGGGTCTTCAACACTTTCAGGCCAAAGACCCAAACAATGATGTTGGAGAAGCAGAGACACCCTTTATATAAATATATAGTAGCTAAAATATAGTCCTTTAAAATTATAAACGGATTTTATTGGAAAGTTTGTCTTTATCTTTTCGTCCTTATATCCATCTGTTCTGTTTTGATTGACAGCCATGTGATTTATTTTTATATCCAGCAGGAAGGTGTTCAAAATTTGCTGTTAAAATCTGACTTTTTCCTTTGGATTCCAGTACAGGTATTTTTAAATTAATACAAAACTCGCCACAAAACTCTAATACGGCTGTCATAAAGGTTAATTAGGCGTTTCATGGCTCTGTGTGTGTGTGTGTGTGTGTGTGTGTGTGTGTACTTTTAAGTCATAATCTTCTCCCTGTAACAGATGGTTGAAGGGAAATGATTGACATGCCGTGAGCCACTGGGGAGACAAGACAGAAACAAAGCATGTCTGAAAATAGTGCTGCCATGTGTCTGTGTGTGTGCTCTCTGTGGCTCCTGCAGACTTCCTTATCTGAGAGGCATCGCTGCGTTTGCTCCTCTGAAGTCAACGTGTCCCATTGTTCCTGGAAGGACTGAAATTCCACAGCTGGTACAATGAAGGTGACAGAACAGGGACACTGGGGCAAGGATTAATGTGGGCCATGTATGGTAGTGGAGAGGACGATGATGGAAATGGTCGGTGTTAGAAAAGCTCTGTTCAGCCCATGATGTGTTGTTGTCTATATTAGGCCAACGTCATATTGTGATATGACTCAATTGAGTGTTAAAATACTGATGGTGACAAAAAAAGACAAGGTTGAAATTTACATGAACACTCTTGAGATATAAGGAGAACAAAACCCTGAAGAGAAAGGGGTAAAACTACAGTAAAAAAAATATTATTTTGGTAACCAAGTAGAAAAGTAAAGTAATTTTTCATGTCACGTGAGAAAGCTCCTTCAAACCTTTCAGCCTCATAACTTTTTCAGCAGAGACATTGAGTCGGGGTGGGGGTTGTGGAGGAGGGGCTGTAAATCAGATGTGCTGCAGGAGAAAATTAAGATGCAGAAGATCTTTATTGCACTTCGCTCTCCTTCTTTTTTTCTTCTTCTGCCACGCATGGTCTGCTGGAGCTGGAGATGAATTAAGGGTCATTTTAGTACCTGCTGTATTTTAACATGCCATAAATGCAATATACGTTATTCTGCACAAAGAAGCACAGTGTCAGGGTTTTTAGTGCCACCCTAGGTTCAAATTAAACTTTAATATTCTCGCCCAGATCTGTCTGTGGAATGATGATTAGACTATCAGGATGTGCACACCTTTGGGATTTCTCCCTCTGGACTCTTGGCTTGCTAGAAATCAGCTCTGCTGCTGCTCTTATAGGGGGAGAGTGTGGAACTGGTGATGATGAAGCCGACAACTGCTGATGTCGTATTTCAAGTTTTTTTTTTCCCAAATTGCAGAAATATTCTACGGTCACTTGACAGGAACATTTTCTTTTCTCCCCACAGGCTAAAATAAAATATATCAAACTTAACTTATATTTAAGTCCATTTGTCAAAGGAGATTTAGGAGGAGTAAAATATATCAAGGGCAGTATTTTTTTAATTATCAAATAAAAATACTTTTCTACTACAGCTTTATTTCCATAAACATCTCTGACTTTTTATTACACCTTAGATATTTCTCTCACGTTACAACATTATTCCCCAAAACCTGTGACTATATTTCCCTAACCGAGTGACTTTTCCACTTCCTTTTCTTCTTCCTTTATTCTATTCTTTATACTGAGGCTTATGCTCGGATCTGCATCACGTCAAGGATGAAAAGATATGATAAAGTGCCCTTTACTCTGAGTCCTTAGAGACACATGAGTCAGAATTGGGAATCAGATGTGTGTGAGAGAGAGAGAGCGTAGAGGCAATGTGTCCCCAAGTCCCCTGCTATATTCCCATCAATCATCCATCGAAGACTGTATTACTGAAAAGGTCACAGAGTGTCTGCTAAATAGACAGACAGTCAGGAAGTGACAATAACACTAACGTTTTTGCATTCGACTCTGACAAACACCACAAACAAATTCCCAACCATTTGTTTCCGAGAATGCCTTTACAGAGATCTTGGTCAGACTGAGACAAACCTGGAGCCGTGCTTTACTTTGTTTGGTCCACTGACAAACTGGACTCAGTTTTAGTCTCACTGTTTCTCAAGCTAACTTTTAACTGCTAGCCAGAACTCTCAATTTAGATTTTCAATGAATTAAACAAATGAACCAAAACCCCTTTCCAAGAAGAGAACAATAGTATTAAGATGCTTGACATCAGTTATACTTCACTTGACATATACTATATGTTTTTTAATAGAAGCTGAATAAAAACTTTAATTCAGTAGTTACTGCCTTTTTAGTTCCTGCTTTATAGTTACTTAGTTTTGTTTGTCATATTCTAGCATTGCAATAAACACTACTGACCACAACCAACCAAAGTCTGTCAGTCTCACGGCTGTAGGGGATTTGTTTTCTTGTTTGACCTTGTTTCACAAACCTAATCATTTAGTAAGATGCTGCAGTAAAAACCTTTGTCATCAGTTTATTTTCAAAACACTAGTGTTTATCTGTTCTGCAAAACCAATCATTTCACGAGCTGCTTCTCCACATTCCTTGTTGTCACCTCCTAAGTACAAGAGAACATACTTTTCTCGGCCTAATCTCATCACACTGTACGTGGAGTGAGTCACCTGCTCAGGTATGTGGCACCAGCCGTGCTCAGCCAATGCATCCCTTCTTCCTGTTTGTCAGAGGAGGAGATTCCATTGTCACACAGATGTCATGTGGTTAACAGGCAGGGCAGGTAAATCACAAGCGAGGCTGGCTTTGCACCAACAATTACCACTGACAAAAAGAAAAAATGCATCCACTCCCTGTTTTTGGCGGTGATCCTGACTTTTGTTCAGGTGCAATTAAAGAGGCAGGGATACACAATGTTCTGTTCACTAATTAATTAGGTCATGTGTCCATCTTGAGGAAGACAACAACATTCACTGTATGAAGGCATTCGCTGTCTCACCGCTGAACCAAATTCTTGCTGCACATTCTGTACACACACCTGCACAAATCAGATACCAAACTACTATCATGTTATCATCTACACAAATAATGATGGGTGTCGGTGACCTCATGTTGACACCTCCCGTGCCGCCCTTCTGTCCCACCTAAGATAATTCTCCTTTTCTGAACACCTTGCATTTTGTTTTTGTCATTTTAATTTGTATCTCTCCCAGCCCAGGTCCACATGTCTGGAGTGAGTTTGTTTTCACAGTTTCTCTCACGGAAGACTCATACTGTTACATACAGACCACATAACAGACCACACATGGTGTGTGTTGTAGTAGTTATTGGTGCAAAAATGTCAGTACAAGACAGACAACAGTTGTTACTGTCAGCTCCAGAAATGTTAGTGGAACAATTTTTTCTCTTTAAGAATGAGCTCTTAGCTCCATCTGTTTGGCCACTGGAGCTCTGTGTTAGAAAAGACAAGAAAAACTGTGACTTGACATCAGGGGTCAAAGGCTGATATGTCCCTGTGCAATAAACAAGATTCAAACCCAAGTTGCTTTTATAACCTTAACAGATGGTGAGAAAACGGTCTCTGGATCTTGGAGAAGTTCAATTATAGACAGGAAGTGCTTTGGTTTGGGGAGTAAGTACATGTGAATGAACATGGAGAATCAGTTCACGGCGTCTGACACACTCCTACAGATTTACTGCTGCTTCCTACAGCAGGACCTGATGTTCATTTTGACTTGAATGATCTGTATTTGTGTTTGCTCCTTGTCATCTACCACAGTTCTTGGTGTGTGAGGCCTGTTGATAAAAACCTACTGCTCTATAGTTTTCTCCTTAATGATCAGCAGTAAATTCTCCTGCCTGTTATCTCTCCCTCATAGGATTTGGAAGGAGGACTGGCTACCATCTTCAGGAACATTTGTTTCCCCTGTATGTTTTTGCATCATCGGCGTCTACACATGGCAGCTGATGCTCTCGTTTGAGCTGACTGAGTGCAGGGATGAGGGTCGGCCACTGAGCTGTTCTAATTGGTCCTCTGCTCTCCAATCCTTTCTCTCTGTCTCCTCAGCTCAGCACTGCAGTGTTGTCAGTCCCACTGGGAGTTGTTTCACGGCTGCACTCCCCCCCCCACACGCACCCACACATTCCATCACACATATACACACACACACTTTTCCCTGACAGAAAAAGTACAGTAACGAAAAAAAGTCACTGCACAAAAAGCACGTGGGAGTGTGTGTGTGTGTGTGTGTGTGTGTGTGTGTATCCCACTCAATTCTCACAGCTTCTCCCCGGTATTTTACAAACTCCCATGCATCTCTCTCACACACACACACACACACTCAAATCCATATGCACACATACCCAGCATTCAAAACACACACACTGGCATCAACAGTAGGCACGTGTTGGTGAGTGGGGTGCTTGTTAGGGATGATAGATTCAGAGAGACTGACTATAAATCCTGAGAGACTCTTCAGGCAAACTACTCAGAGCTAATAAGAGGTGTTATGGTAGGGATTCAAACATTCACACTTTCGTCTCATCAGACGTACAGTGTTTACAGCTCATTACACATGTAAACAGACGGACACATTTGCACAGGACACTGCTGCAGCCTGTAGATACAGAGCAGGAATATGCTCAATTTGTGAAAGTGGCTCAAAGTCGAGAGCAACTTCTTTTCCTTAAAGACATAGCTGAAGCATGAAGACAGTGGGGTGTGAACCTGTCTATGAGAACAACCTCTGACAGTAGGCATGCAGTCAGAGGGACGGGGCGGCAGGCCCTCAGGAATCCACTGCTTCAACTTAAGGGACCTGTACTGGAGAGTCTTTGGTGAAAACGTTTTCTAAAAAAGTGTCACAAATGTTCCATCAAAGACTAAAAGTTTGAAATGGGCACTCTCTGTGGAGCTTGAGGTTTGAGTTTTAAACTAGTTATAGTAACAGCTATAGTAAGGCATGTTTTGGGT